GGAGGGTGGAGGTGTTGTGAAGGGGGAGCAGAGTAGTAGGAGGGTGGCGAGAGGGGCGGTGTTCGGTCCGAGATGAGTATCGGAGCGGATGGAGATAGGGTCGGAGAGGTAAGGAGGAGGTGTGTTGCCAGGACCGAAGGTGAGTATCGGAACGGCAGTGGTAGGTTATGACTCCGGAGGTGAAGGGGGTGGAGGTCCGGAAGTCGGGTCGGGGTCGGGTATGCACGGATATGACAGATTTCCTGGTTGACCTGCTCTGTCTGTCCATCAGTTTGGGGATGGTTGGGCATTGAGGGGGTCAGCTTGACCCCTAGGAGGTCTGCGAGTTCTTTTGAGAAGTGCGAGACAAAGGCACTCCCTCTGTCGCTGAGGATTTCCTCTGGGAGTCCGTGGTGCTTCTAGACATGCTCTAGGAAGAGCCGGGCGATACCAGCCGAGTCTACAGACGTCACAGTGGGGATCGTGTGGATACGCTTGGACAGATGGTCCACTACAACTAAGATGGCATTATAACCCTTCAACTCTGGGAGCTCTCCCACCATGTCTACTGAGATCACCTGCCAGCGATGGGTAGGGACTTTGTTTGGGGTGAGCTTCCCAACCTTCCGTGCAGGGAAGGATTTGATGCGGTTGCAGGTGTCGCATCCACATACATATTGCCTGACGGACTCTGCCATCCGAGGCCACCAGTAGTCGCAGGAGACGAGTTCCAGGGTTTTCCATCGCCCTGGATGTCCCATCGCCCGTGCATCGTGGTGTAGCCGTACCAGATCGTGGTGGAGTTGTGGGTCTTTTGGAACGTACACTCTGCCTCAGTAGAGGACCAGCTCTCCCTGTCTCTCCCACTCGTCCGACCTCAATGTCCCTTCTCCTAATTCCCTCATGGCCTCCACCCGCTCATCATGATCCTTCGCTCCTCATATCCTCTCCAGAATATCCGCTCCCTCACCTTCCACTGAGGCTGCCTCTGTCGCACAGGCCTCAAACCAGGCCGGTTGGAGGAGTGTCAGCCCCTCGTTGTCATCTCTTCCCTTTGGGTGGTCAGTGCAGTGGGAGAGTGCATCCGGTTTCCCCATGAGCTTCCCTGGGTGGTGGATGAGGGTGAAATGGAAGCAGGAGAGGAAAAGGGACCATCGAGCCTGGCGCTGATTCAGCCTCTGGGCTGTCCGGAAGTAGCCCAGGTTATGGTGGTCAGTGTAGATCTCGACTTTCTCTTCAGCACCTTCCATGAAGTGCTGCCATTCCTCGAGGGCTCGGACAATTGCAAGCATCTCCTTATCATACACCTTGTAGTTGCGCTCCACGTCCATGAAACTTTTGGACATGAATGCCACCAGGTGGAATTCCCCATCCAGTTGGAGTTGGGAGAGCACTGTGCCGGTTGCAAAGTTGGATGCATCGCACTCGAGCCTAAAGCGGCCATGGTCAGTGGGGAAAGAGAGGACAGGGGCTGTGGTAACAGCTTCCTTGAGGGTGCGGAAGGCATTGTCTTCGCTTGGGTCCCAGTTCCAGGCCTGGGTCTTCCGGGTCAGCCTGTGAAGGGGGCACACCTTCTCAGTCCCTGATGAACTGGCGATAGAAGTTTACGAATCCTAGGAAGGATTGTACCTCCTTCACCTTGGTTGGGGGTGGCCAGTCGAGGACTCCCTGGATCTTTACCGGGTCCATCACGATGTTACCCTCCAAGATAACAAGACCGAGGTACTCGATCCGGGTTCACTCGAACTTACACTTTTCTGGTTTAAGGAAGAGCCTCCTTCTCCTCAGCGTCTCTAGGACTTCACGGACAACCCTCCAATGTTCCTCCAGGGTGGCCATGAAGATCAGGATATCATCCATGTAACAGATGACAACCTCCTGGTCGATGAAATCCCTCAGGATGTCGTTCATCATGGTCTGGAAGGTTGCTGGGGAGTTTCACAGGCCAAAGAACATCACCATGGGCTCAAACAGCCCTTGGTTGGTCGCGAACGCTGCCCACCCGTCTCCATCCTTGATCCGGATGTTGTTGAACCCCCAGTGTAGGTCCAAGGCCGAGAAGTACTTGGCATTGCAGAGGCAGGCGAGGACGTCTGAGATGAGGGGGAGCAGGTACGAGTTTTTTACCATGATCTCGTTCAGCTCCCTGTAGTCCTGGACCAGGCATAGTGACCTGTCCTTCTTCTTGACGAAGAAGACTGGCGCTCCCATAGGGGACTTGGACGGCCATATATGCCCATTCTGCAGGTTCTCACGTAGGAACTCATCCAGCTCTTTCTGTTCCAGGCGCAAGAGTGGGAAGGTTTTTCCCCTGGGCAGTTTGGTGTCCGGTACCAGGTCTATAGTGTGGTCCCAGGGCTTCCGGGGGGGCAACTGGTCGAAGGCTTCTTTGGAGAACACATCCTGGAAGTCCTGGTAGTGCTCTGGTACTAGTGTCTCGAACGACGCGGGCTCAGCCTCTGGGTTGTGGGCCTCTGTCAGAATCTGGAATGTTGTCAGAGTCGGAAGTACTGTCAGAGTCTGGAATATTGTCAGAGACAGAATACTGTCAGAGTCGGACAAACTGTCAGAAGATGGATGGAAGATGGATTGGGTTTCCGTCTGAGTTGAGGTCGGAGGTGATGCAGAGGTCTGTTGGAGCGCGCATGCAGATATGCGGGCGGAAATATGCGGCACGTCCGGAAGCGCTGTTCAAGGTTAGCAGGGTGGGATCGCGGCCTCAGCAACTCAGGTGGAGCGCTGTGCCCTGAGCTTGACGTTTGGGGGAGATCCCATATTTACGGATTGACACTCACAGCGGACTTCAAACAAGACTTGTGGGCGGAGCGGACCTGTAGGAGGAGCGTGGACTCCATGAGCACGGACTCAGAGGGGGGGAAGCCCCCTTTGCAGAAGGAGAGACTCAGACCAGACAGGGGGGGTACTCTAGACTGAGGTCCCCGAAAGTATTTACAAGGTATAAGTAGATAAGAGAAATCAAAAGAGGGACCGGTCGGTCCGGTGCGGAAATAAGCGGAAATGAGTGGGGACTTGTCAAACTAAACCAAGGACAAGAACCTGGGAGATGGGAGGCAAGGAATGAATAAAGTTAAAGCGGATCAAATACCAATATTGACAGATTAAATGAATGAATGGGAAAGTGCAATAGCACATGGATCAAATGCCAATATTGGGGTGAACATAATAGGCACTCGGCAAGGAATGAATGTTATGTTGCTGAGTGACAAAAATGGCCAGAGGACAAAAGCGGAGGTCAGCGCGCGGTGCCGATACAAGTCCGCAAATAAGCGGGGTCGGTGCGGTGCCGACACAAGTCCACGAACTGTCATATCCGTGCATACCCGACCCCGACCCGACTTCCGGACCTCCACCCTCTTCACCTCCGGAGTCATAACCTACCGCTGCCGTTCCGATACTCACCTTCGGTCCTGGCAACACACCTCCTCCTACTACTCCGCTCCCCCTTCACAACACCTCCACCCTCCCGTTATCCTCCTACGCTTCCCCCGTCCGCTCCGATACTCACCTTCGGACCTGACTACTCTCCTTTCCGCCACTCTCTCCTCCCTCCGTTACTCCTCCACCACCCTTCCGCCAAGTTACGACCTTCTACCATTGTTCCGTACTTCGCACTCAGACACCGCTCGTACCTTACTCCGAGCCTCCGTCATAGTCCCTACCTCGGACTTTGACTCCACCTCGGCCTTAGTCCATTGCATTGGTGACCTCATACTACGTAAACACCATTGCCAATATTCCTCAGACTTCCAACCCCGCCTCCGTAACCTCCGTAAGCTCCGCAACCCCCGAGCTTCGCAGACCGCCTTCGGCGCTCTCGCCGCCTGTAATGTATTTCTCGCATTTTCCCTTCATCCCTATTTGGACTACTGCTTCCTTCTATTCTAGCCAGTTAGTCATCATCCCCACTTCCCCTCATCCTCCTGCCCCTCTGGGCCTCGCCCTCTCTACCTCCTTTCGGACGTATCACAGGTCTTGCCCTATGACCTTCGGTACCGCTCCGCTCCCTCTACCCTTTGTTCCCGTTCAGACGTCTTCGTTCCGATTCGGTCACCCTTTGTTCTCTTTGTGCTTTTGCCCCTTCCATTATATATATCGGCGCTTGTACATACTCGTCTTGGTTTCAGTCCGAAATCGACCTGAAATGCCCCCAAGAGACTTCCTGCTCACCTACTGTGAAATTAAGGACCAAATGGACAAACAGCAATGGCACAGCGCTCCGCTTGAGTCGCTGAGGCCAAGGTCCCTCCACGCTAAGTCTCCGATTCCACTCCGGAGTCGTCCGTTTCCGCCTCGTTCTAACACGAACAGAGGTTGATCTGCCAGCACTGTCACACAAGGACAGCATGAAGGCCAACAGAGGTACAGAGGGGAGTGGGAGTGTTGACCTGACCAGAGGTGTCAAGGGCAACCAGAAGTGGCCAGAGGGTGCAGAGATGGGCAGAGGGTGTGGAGTGAGCAGAGGGTGCGGAATGCATGGAAGCGGGGCATGGCTGTGACCACATAGCGGGAAGCGATGAGTGTGGTTCAGATGGAGACAAGGCAGGCATGACTGAATGCCGGGAGCGCCAAGGGCTCAGGAACTGGAGGTAAGGTCGGAATACCGGCAGGGTCTAGGTTCTGATTATTGGCCAAGTCTCATGCAGTAAGGCAGGGGGCCAGACATGGGGTTGGGGGCTGGTTAGGATGGGTTTCGGGTCGGCAGATTCGCCTATCAGCATTGGTTTGCCACTGATGGAGCCCCGGGATTTTTCAGTTGTGACAGCCTCCTGGGCCATCCGCTGTGAGGGGGTCATGGTGGCTCTTAGGTCATGGCCCCAGCTTGGGGGGATGATCGCAGCATAGATCCCATCCCCAGGCTCCAGTATAGGGTCCTGGTCATCCTGTACTCGCAGCTGTCTGCAGGAGGATGGGCAGCGAGACATGACGACCTTCTGTCATGCCCAGTCCACCTCTGGGTTGTGGTGCAGCAGCCAGGAGTGTCCTATGATGAGGGACTGCCGCCCGAGATTTGCGACTGCGAAGCATGCCCGCTCTGTGTGCCACCCAAAGGTCAGGAGGGCTTCTAGCTCCTCGGTTATAGCTCCATTCTCGTTTGGGGTTCCATTGACATTATGGACGGGAATGGGCTGGGGGAGGGGGGTTGTTGTCATATCCCGGAATCCCGACCCCGCGCACTCCCACCACATCACACCTTCCTAACAACTTCACCATCCCCTACACCATGCCTCCCCACTCTCCAAGTCACCTTCCCTCCTGACTGTCTCAGCTCCGGTCTGGTTGCGGCACACCGAACCTTGGCTACTCCCATCCCGGAACCCCGGTCCCGAGTCGGAACATTCGGAGACCCCGGATTTGCTCCGATATCCTGACGGACCTCCGACATCCCGTGACATACCCTTAAACCATTCCTTCACCCACTTCATTTATTGGAGTCACCCAACATCCTTCGGATACGCAACTCCGCTTTCGGAGCTAACCGCATCTTTCGGTGATCTCCTTCACGCTATCACTTATTAGTCATCTTCCATTCTTAGCACGACTACCTTCTTACTACCATTCAGTCGGCTAACCCCCTTTACCCATTTGTCTTCCCCATTCATTTTCCGGCCTCCAACTCCGCCCTCCTTGGCCCGACACCTCGGTTCCCCATTTTAGATATCGTCCGGAACCTTTCGGTACCTTTCGGTGTTTTCCCCGTTTTGTCATTTCGGGCTTTGACTAAAGTCCTCCCCATCCTCCTTTATAAATACATGTAGATTAGAACCTGTAGTTCCTCAGTTCTAATCTCGACTAAAAATGCCACCCAAAGTCCCTCTGAGTGAATCCTGTCCCTGTTCTACAAGACACCTCAGACATAAGAAATACAAGGACTAACTGAGACGTAATGGAGGCACAGCGCTCCCTCCGAGTCGCTGAGGCCGCGTCCTTCTTAGAGCCTCTTGTACCATCCAGCAGAACTGGGCTCCCTGAGAAGCTTCGGCTCACTACCGGAGCCCTTGGACCCCCCTCTAGTTGAGCCCTGCCTGCATTCGGACTCACGCATTTACCCCCTCTTCCATAACCGAACGGGTTCTTGACAGTTGTCTCCAGATTGTGCTTCTGGATGAACTCAGGGCTTATGAAGTTCCTGGTGGCTCCTGAGTCCAGGAGGGCTGATATGGACACTGACGTGAGGGAGGTTAGGGCAGTCAGTTTCACTGTGAGGTTGAGAGACCTAGGGGACTGTTTGGAAAGGACGTAAATGGCTGGGGGAGACTGCTACTTCGGGCGTTACTGCCCTCGGGGTCTTCTCATTCTCACAGGTGGAGGGTGCGTTTCTCCTCTTTTTCTTCGCAATGACTCGATGAAATTTTGGCATTGGCGTTGGCTTACGCACGCTGCGGTATTTACATGAGCTATCTTCTATGGGTGGCCGGGATGCAACCCTCACTGGTCGCCTGCCTGAAAATCCCTCTGAGGTTCCACCTCTGGTTCCTCCTCCACTGTCTCTGTCCCTTCAGTCAGCTGTCTCTTCAGCCCTTCCATCAGCGCCCTTATGTTACAGGAATGGGTTCCGGGGAACCCAACCTGAGCCGTTCGGCTCACTAATGGAGGTGGCTGCATAGCCATTGGAGGGAGAGCAGAATAGGATGAGTGTATGGAAGTACAACCTGTGTGTCGGCCAACAGTAACTTGGCGCTCCTGGGAGCATACCGGTAGCGAGTATGATGTGGGCTCCTTGAGGGAGCCACCTGGAAAAAAGCTCTCTGCTAACGGGGACTTGGCGCTCCTGGGAGCGTGCCGGTAGCGGGTGTGCTGGGAGTGTTTGGCTAGCGGTGACTTGGCGCTCAATGGAGCGTACCGGTAGTGAGGGATACTGGGACTCCCAAAGGGAGTCACCCAGTTGGTGGCTATCAGTGACTTGGCGCTCATGGGAGCGTACCAGTAGCGGGAGTTGTTGGGGAAAGCGGGCTGGTGGGCCAGTGCACGGTATTGGGTGACCGTGGGAAGTGGGACCTGCAGGTGCGTGGCCAGGCATCCTGGAGCTGCCTGGACCGTATCCTTCTCCTGAGGAGGTGGGATAGGCTACAGTTCCTGATAGGGAACTTCTGGTTGGATGGGAGTAACCACTCGACCACCCGGTGGACTGGTGGGAGCGGGCAGCAGGAGGTTGGGCATGGGAATGCCCTCCTCGTTGCGGTTTTGTCATGGAGAGGAGGAATAGGGAGGTGGACATGGTTCCAGGGTTACAGGTTGAGTTTACAGTGGTGACACAATGGTGAGGATGTTACAATCGCGGTACAAGGTTTGTGGGTTATGTATTTGATAATGATAAAACATCTTGGCATTTGCCATACATGTCATATGACTTGTGTCTATCTAATACAAAGGTTGTAATGGCCAAGGGAAGTCCCTTGGAAATCAACAAATCCCCCAGCCAGCACCAAAACCCAGTGGGAACGCTTGGCATGGGGTTTGGCAAAGAACAAAGTGAAGGGAAGGAATTGTCTTACCTGTGTGCATGGTCCATAGGAATCTCCATTTCCATAACACCTTAGGTCTTCCGGGTAGGGACGTTGTACTCGGCTGACCCTGGGGTGTGGGCACTCTCGTGCGAGATGCCCCGGGGTGTTACAGTTGTAGCACCGCCTCTGGTCAGTCCTTGACCTGTCGAGATCCATCAGCTGGGGGCCTGTCCCTGATGCGGGATGGGCTGCTGGAGTGGGGGGCAGAGGTGTGGAAGCAGGTTGTAGGGGGGTCTGTGCAGGTCGCATCTGGGATGGGGTCGCAGTTAGTGGGGGTCGAGCTGGTGGAAGTGGGGGTCTGGGCAGGGGTGCGCATGGTTGGGTGGCTTGGAAACGTCGCCACTGGCTGTCCAGAAGTGTGGCTTCGTGTTTCCACTCGGCCCAGGTGGTGGGCATGGGGTGGAGGTGGTATATGCCCTCCCTGAGCCTTAATCGCCTGCTCAAATCGGTTGACCAGCCCAACATCCCCTAGCCTTGAGGTGGGTCCCAGTATCTCGAACACCTGGATAACCTTATCCATGGAGTCAGTCCCTTGGCAGATGACTGCCAACTTCTGCCAGGCTGTGGCCTCCCAGTTTGGGTCATGGAACATGGCATTGAGTTCCATGTTGAACTCGTCCATGGTAATGGTGGGGGAGTTGGCTGTTAACAGGGTGATCGTCTGTTGTGTCGCCCACACCCCTGCGGGTCCCCCCTTCATGTAGGAGAGGACAAAGAGGATCTGGGATAGCTCGGTGGGGAACTCGGCAGCACAGACATGGAAGTAGATCCCGCACTCGGCCTTAAAACAGTTGAGGTCCTCACTGGCTCCCGAGAAGGGAGTGGGGGGAGCGACCTTTGGTGGTTTGGGCCTAGGGGCGAGTGGGGGTATAGGGATGGGCGTAGGTGCGGGTGCTGGTGCAGGTGCAGGTGGGGGGTGGTTGCGGGCTTGGCTCTCCACAATAGCTTGGAGCTCCTGGAAGTGGGGCAGGTCATCATACTGCTCTTCTGACACCATGGCTGGGGAGATAGGGGAGGTGGGGGAGATAAGGTTAAAACCTTCTTCTGCTGTCAGGGACGCATCCAGGGTCGAGGGGGTCTGGGTGTAATGCCTGGCACTGAGGCCATCGCGAGGTGTAGAGCAGGCATGCATAGTGACAGGCCCAGTCTGGGATGACAATCCCTGGCCACTCAGACTGAAGTGGGAATCATGAGTTGTTATTAAAAGGAAGCTATGCTACTTACCTGAAGTGGGAATCGTTACTTCTTTGGTTCCCACCCCAGGTACTTTTATGTACATGTGGCTTGGGTCACATGAGGTTTGCCACATCACCCCGCATACAGCCACAGTCATCTGGGTGTCCCCATGGGGGATCCTGAGGATGTGTGCTGCACACGCGCATGCTGGGTTGCACTGTGAGGCCGTCTGGGTCATCTGGGGCTGGGTGTGTTGTGCACATGTCGTGGGCAGGTCGATAATACATAGATAAGGGGAAATGTCGTCCATGTAGATAAAGATAGAAGAAAGGGCAAGAGAGCAAAAGAACAGAAGGACAAAGGAAGAACAAGAAGTGAGAAACAATGGTGAAGGGTGAGGGGTGGAGGTGAGCGGGGTACCGGGTGAAGGCAGGTGGAGCCGGGTCGGGCAGGTGTGCCCTGACACTCAATATGCATGGTGCTTGGTCTTCCTGGATCTGAACCGATCCCAATGATCTCTGCCTCTCCAACCATATCAATGGTAACTGCACAATCAGCACCCAGGTCTCTAAACTTCAGAGCTTCACCCTCAATGCCCTCTGCAATTGCCCTTAGCTCTTTTGGGTTCGTGATTGTCAACTAAGCTGCTCTGAATGCCTGAAGTCATTGCATGTGGCACCTTAGGGTGCCATCACCTCTTGTTATTCCAGCCATCTTCCCTCTCATCACTTTGGACTGGGCAGCTCGCTTTATCAACAGCCAATATCTCCAAGATCTCTCACCCCATTCCATGTTGCAGTCAGATCTTTTGGCCGCTGATGTTATAGATATAGGCTAGAATCTTATGGTCCATGGTTGCAAGCAGATGGATCCAGGACCTTCCCCATTTTACTTCTCCATCAAACCCCATGCCAAGCTTCCACCGGGTTTTGGTGCTGGCTGGGGGATTTGTTGAGTTTCAAGGGACTTCCCTTGACCATTATGACTTTTATATTAGATAGTTAGAAGTCATATGATGTGTAAGGCAGATGCCGAAAAATGTTTTTTCCTTATCTAATACATAACCCACAAAACCTTGTACCACGATTGTAACTGCCACACCATTGTGCCGCCACTGTAAGCCTTCTCTGTAACATCTGACTTGGTTCATATCGATGTCTACATCGATATTCTTACAATCTGTGAGAAAACCTCAACGGCCCAGTGAGTGCTCAGACACCGGACCTCACCCTTCCTGCTCCCACCCCCCCACTGGGTGGTTGAGCTCCCATTCCTACCCTTCCTGTAGTACCCTACTGGGTCCTACAACCCTTCCTCCCTTCTTGGGAGGGAGAAGTGACTCAGGCAGCCCCAGGATGCCTGGCCACGTACCCGCAGGCCCAAATTCCCACAGTCATTCACTACCATGCACTGGTCAACCAACCTGCCTGTCCCAACAAATCCTGCTACTGGTACGCTCCCCTGAGTGCCAAGTAACCAATAGTCAACCACTGGGCTACTCCCTCAAGGAGTGCCAAGTCACTGCTAGCCGACTGTTAGGTGGCTCCCTCAAGGAGCCCCCACTATACCCGCTGCCGGTACGCTCCTCAGAGTGCCAAGTTACCATTAGCCCACCTGGCCTCGGATCTCCTGCTCTCCCCTCAACGGCTACACAGCCACCTCCGTCCGTGAGCAGAACGGCTCAGGTTGGGTTCCCTGGAACCCATTCCTGTAACAGCTGAACTCACTTTAATGCAAGGTGTTAGACCAGCATTCTTGATCATGAACTCCAGACTTGTCACATTCTCAATATTACTGATAATGATGCTGGGCTCGAGGCTGGGGGGCCAGGCTCGCCCCATGTGCTCTGGACTTGGCATGAGTAATGCATGGACTGGGGTAGGTGTTGGAATTTGTACACATGGTCTTGGGAACCTAAATGCTAAAATATGGACATTCTGAGAGTCGAACCGCAGAACCCTGCATAGGTACCAAGAGTGTGTTACCATTACACTAAATGCCCACATTAGGTGGAGGTGGTTTCTTACAGTAGGCCCAGAGGCCTGCGCTCTTAAGCTTGAACTCTTGCTGTGCTCGACTTGATGTTGATATCAACACTCAGCAACACAGGTGCTTTCATTGCTCAAATGATCACTTGAATCACGTAACTTTGCTTGATTGCCTGGTTTTCCCCTTAGAACCATTGAATCGTCACATGGCTTTTTGGAGGACACTTGTCGAATCTTGGAGTCTGCATCCAGCACTCATCAACTTCGCATCATTGTATTTTCTTTGGTGGAATTCTTGGTAGCTTTCACCGGGTGCGGATTGGGGTGCCTGACCATTTGAGCCAGGCACCCAAAGCAGGGGAATCCGTTGTCGCATTGGCAGTTATTGCCATGTGTGGGGCTCCCCTGACCCAGGAGGGTATTCCCACTAAATGCCGGCATATTTCATTTGGCCTTGGAAGCCTTGGGCTGCAAATATGTAGATACTGAGTTAAAATCACATACAAGAAACAGTATGGGCCTCATGACCCCATGGTTTATATAGCCCCAAAGTTGGATCCATGTATATTTCTATTTAACACTGTAGGAGGGCACAGCAAGTACCACACAAACAAGGCCAGAACCACGTTTTTCGAGGCTCCAACGAGCACCCTCAAGCCTCCGACACATTCACAATGCCCACGGCACATTTTCACATTTTTTCCAATTTTTTTCATGCTTCTTTCTCAAGACTCATATTGCCACTTCCCCAAATTCCACGGTTATCTACCATTTTCCCCATATCTTCCCCAAATCTCTACCAATTCACACTATTTTGAGCTTGATGGACAGCGACGGATCAGGAGAAGAGGATGGAATGACGGGACGGGAGTCAGGATGACGGATATGCGGTGGAGAAGCGAGATTGATGGTCGATATTGACTTCATGGGTTCATTTATTAATTTCATTGTCACCTTGTGTCCACTTCTTTTGCCTTATTGTTCTTTAGCCGAGCTGCTAACATTCTTCCTGTTTCCATTGCCACCATCTATCGCCTATTTCCTTGTTTTTTGTTCTGATTTCTCTTTTTTTCTATGTATACACCCAGTTTGCATTGTACTTACAGTGGTTGGACCCCTCTTCTGTGCTACAAAGAATGTGGTGTTGAGCGATCCCTCCATACGTTGAAAGAAGCCTCCTGACGACTGTCCAAGAAGGACCAGGAGTGAGTACAGATTTAGTGAGGTTTATTGATTGATTGTCTAGCACCCGGACCACAGCACAGTATTGGCACTGTCGCCACCAACCAACCTTTCCCTCCTTCTGACCCGATTCAGACACTACCCCCAGGTCCCTACTCTCTTGCCTGGGCAGCTCTTTTGCCCAGTTACAACGCCCTTTCCAATACTTCCATCACTTCAAGCAAGTCACGCAAGGTCATGGCTGCATAAGCAGCCTTTCTAGTTTTGTTTCAAACCTCTAAGGATTCTGATCTGGATCCAATCTGATCCGATCCGCTAGGAGCCATATGGAAGCCTTCACTATAGTGCTTGCCTTGCTTTGCCAAACCTGCACAGCATGCATGCATTTCAGCAACAGAATGTGTCCAATGTATTTGTAAGGAATGGGTGATGATCTCCTTTCTCCTTTTCTTTATTCAATCTTTATTCCATTGTATACAATATAAAACAACTGTATTTATATATGTATAGCTTGGGCTTGGGTAAAGGGTTCTTCACTCTTTACCCTCACCTGCTTGTCAAATCATAGCTCAATACAGCCTAGTGTCAGGGCACACCTGCCTGACCCGGTTCCACCCGGGCCCACCCGGGCCCACCTCACCCGCTCACCTGCTCACCCGCTCCCCACTACCCATCCTTCCTCCTCCCTCCTTCCTCCCTCTTCCCCTTCCTCCCTTTCCTCCCTTTTCCCTCTTTTCTCTTTCTCCTTTATTTCATTCTCCCTTTCTGTTTATTCTTTCTATTTACACGGACCACCTTCCCTTGTATCATTGTACTGTTGACCCGTCCAGCTTGGACACCCTGGACGACTTCCCGCTATGCCCAGCACATGCACCTGCAGCGGATGCCCTCAGGATCCCCCGCGGGGATACCCAGATGGCTGTGGCTCTCTCCATAGATGACGTGGCACTCATCATGTGACCCAAGCCGCATGTACATAAATGTACCTGAAGTGGGAACTGAAGAAGTAACCTTCTTCTCACATTTTCCACTTCAGTCTAAGTGGCCAGGGACTACAGTCCCAGATCGGGCCTGTCAGTATGCGTGCCCACTTCATCCCCTGAGAGGGTCCCTCTGCCGGGCGCTACAGCTGGGCCCCCTCCACCCCGGATGCGTCCCTGACACCTAGATCTCGACAGCCAGAGGACTGAGGAGACACCCAGGTCAGAACCCCAACCGACCTTACTGTGAGAACCGGGCGGAAACAGACGACTCCGGAGTGGAATCGGAGACTTAGGATGGAGGGACCTTGGCCTCAGCGACTCAAGCGGAGCGCTGTGCCATTGCTGTTTGTCCATTTGGTCCTTAATTTCACAGTAGGTGAGCAGGAAGTCTCTAGGGGGCATTTCAGGTCGATTTCGGACTGAACCAAAACGAGTATGTACAAGCGCCGATATATATAATGGAGGGGGCAAAAGCACAAGGAGAACAAAGGGTACCGAATCGGAACGAAGACGTCCGAATGGGAACAAAGGGTAGAAGAAGCGGAGCGGTACCGAAGGTCATAAGGCAGGACCTGTGATACGTCCAAAAGGAGGTAAGGAGGGCGAGGCCCAGAGGGGCAGGAGGATGAGGAGAAGTGGGGATGATGACTAACTGGCTAGAATAGGAAGAAGCAGTAGTCCAAATAGGGATGAGGGGAAAATGCGAGAGATACATTACAAGCGGCGAAAGTGCTGAAGGTGATCTGCGAAGCTTGGGGGTTGCGGAGCTTATGGAGGTTACAGAGGCAGGGTTGAAAGTCCGAGGGATATTGGCAATGGTGTTTACGTAGTATGAGGTCACCAATGCAATGGACTAAGACCGAGGTGGAGTCAAAGTCCGAGGTAGGGACTATGACAGAGGCTCGGAGCAAAGGTACAAGTGGTGTCCGAGTGCGAAGTACGGGACAGCGGTGGAAGGTCGTAACTTGGCGGAAGGGTGGCGGAGGAGGAGTGGAGTAGGAGGAGTAGTAGGAGGGTGGCGAGAGGGGTGGCGTTCGGTCCGAGGTGAGTATCGGAGCGGATGGAGATAGGGGAGGAGAGGGAAGGAGGAGCAGAGGTGGCGTGGGGGGTGAGAGGAGGTGTGTTGCCAGGACTGGAGGTGAGTATCGGAATGGCAGCGGTAAGGTATGACTCCGGAGGTGAAGGGGGTGGAGGTCCGGAAGTCGGGTAGGGGTCGGGTATGCACGGATATGACACTTACAGTATTTAAGGTATTACAATCAATGAAATTGTCATATCCCAGATCTTCTGCCTCCCCCGCTCTATCCATACACGACTCCTATGACCTCCACCAGCCCACCTACGTCTGCATCACCTCCGGACCTCCACCACCATACCTCCACCTCCTCAGACCCCTTGTTCAAAGGAGATGGGCTTGCTCATTGTTGATGAATCCCAATTTGTCATTCCACCCTCCTTCCTACCTCTGGCCTCCACACCTCTGGTACCTCCTCATTCCTATCTTACCTCCGGTCTCGATAATCCTTATTGTTTTATCATATGATATTTTCTACAACCCCAATCTTCTGGACTACAACCTCCGGGCTCTGGACCTTTCCAGATGCCTCTTCTCTGTAGTTCCCTGCTTGTTCATAGATGCTTCCAGACCTTGCCATTCAGTTGGCTTTTATTTCTCTAACTCCACA